GAAAGAATGCAAACTGGCTTAGGGCGGTGCAAACTCTCGATAAGTCCAAAATTGTGTAAATCTTAGGAATCTCTTTCACGTATAGGAACCCATTTGGGAAGTCCCGAATTAAGATTAGTGGCTAATTTTCGACAGTGCTACAGAGTAAAGACTATACTAGGAACTCAACTAGAGGCCCAGCGATCATAACCCTTATAGGCGGGGTTACATCAACCTGGCCATTGGAGGATGAGAGGACTCCACAGGCTAACTGGATTGGAAGAAGGGATGTCTCTGGAGCTGAACTCATGCGTCAGGAAATGTCGGTACTGGGGTTGGTTATGAACTTAATAAGGGCAGAAGTAAAGTAATAAAGAACTAATTAGGAAGGTTGTACTTGAGATACGGATTGTGTTACGGCAGCATTCCAAAAGATGGCTTGAAATATGAACACAATGATGGCAGACAATATGTACTAATTGGGAAGTAATTACTGAACGAGTATGCACTATCATGTGTGGAACATGTAATGCGATATCAGGTTTACCTTGAGGATGATCAAGATAGTCCTAAGGCGGGTTGTAATATATATAGTTAAAATTATTATAAATACTACTAACTCCGATTTAACTATAATAAAATTCACTGACCAAAGAGGTCACCTTAAAGAGAAAAAAATAAATAAATAAATATAATCATTGTCAAAGCAAGATGAATGAGTTCAAATAGTACCTTACTGATCTGCTTTTTTCCCACTTACGTTTAAAACCATTTGATATTCTAGCCTAATAGAAGGCAAATGCGTAAAAATATCTTTTGGTCTCAACAATAGCAAGAGATATTCTTGCAATTTCAGTAATATCGGTGGCTTCCGAATCAGTTAATAAACTTACAAGTTTATAGTTAATTTTTTTAAGAATAAGGCTAATTTAAACTTCATTTTTAGGCTTTTAGTATAGCTGGAAGAATAATTGATAAATATTATTCCAATCTTACTTTGGAAACGATTGAAATGCTAATATGCAGTCAAGATTGGTTAAACAGTATTGAAGAGTGAGGCAAGAATAATAATTAAATAAATAGTTCTTTCTTTTTTTTTATTTTATGAAATAGCTATTATTGCTACCATATTCTTAAGTAGTTCTTGAAACAAGAACAAATGCATATACAGTGAATTAATTAATAAAATATATACAGATTACTGCAATTTGTAGCTTTAATTAAAAAAATAATTAATAATTTTATTTATTAATATAGCTGCAAATATTTAACTAAATTGAACTTCACTTTGATTTACAATATTATAAAAATAAAGATGGATTATATTTATTTAAATTTTGATATTTCGATTACATTGATAGGATTCGAAATAGTCCTAACCGTTTAAATTAACTGTACCATTGTTGAAATATATTCAAAGTTTGCATAATCACAAGTATAGTACAAATTTAAAATTCAAGTATATGTAGGCTACAGGCCAGGCTGGGCCTACCCAAAGCCCATAGTGGCCTGGTCTGATCTATATATTAGATTTTCTAATTGGGTTTTTGCCCGGGCCAGGTTTAAAAATATTTTTGTTGGGTTTATGAAAACCCGACCCAATCTGGCCTATTATGAACCCTAATTGTATATGTAATATTTGTAACCAAAATATCTTAATGTAAATCTAATAAATGATATTGGCAAAACTGCCAAATTTAAAAAAAAAAAAATCTTTTTAAAATTATATTGTACTAGCTATACTATATTGTATAATTATATAGAGGTAATTCTATTCAATTATACCTTTATATAATTACCAAAATATACTAGATAAACTAGGCAATTGTATGATTGTAGAGTAGAGTTGCAGATAAACTACTTTTCAATGATACACTAGGTAAAACTGGTGCACCAATGGTGAAACTAGAGTTATATTTTCAATGGTGCACCAGTTTTCTGGTGGAATTAATTAGTTTTATTAGCAACTCTATTGTAGAGAAAAACAACTGTATATAGGGGCTATTCAGTAGAAAGGGGAAAAATCTCTTTTTTGGCTAAAAAATTTTTATTTTTTTATTTTTTTATTTTTTTGTTCAAATTCGGCAATCATGCCACAACTTTATTAGACTTTGTAATAGTCATTTAGACTATTAAAATTTTAGAGAGACTTTTCGGTAAGTGATAAACTCTGAACATGTCAGCAGATAGTGTATGAGAACTAGGGTTCCAAACTGGTTTGAAATGTTAGACCCGTGACCCGTCGGGTCAAGACTAGCAACCAACCGAGTATCCGAATTGAATTCGGGTGACCCGGTTACCCGATTACCCATATGTAATTCAGGTGACCCGGTTACCCGATTACCCGTATATAATTTGGGTGACCCAGTTACCCGATTACCCGTATGTAATTTGGATGACCCGGTTACTCGTATGTAATCTGGATGACCCGATTACCTGTTTATTCGTATGTAATTCGGGTGACCTGGTTACCCGATTACCCATATGTAATTCAAGTGACCCGATTACCTGATTACCTGTATATAATTCAGGTCATCCGGTTACCCGATTGCCTCAAGTAACCCAGTTATCCAAAAACCTGAGTAGTCCATATCAGTTTTTTTGCAAATGTATATAGGGATGTATTATATAAATTATGTTCATATGAAATTATAGTGCATTGTCACATGATAACTTTACCGACATTACAAAAGTTTAGCCAGCACTAATAGATATCCATAATTATGTTCGGAATTGTAATTTTTATTTATTTTTAATGCCAGTTTTATAAAAATTATTCACATGATAAAAATTACATGTAATTTTTGATTTCAGAAACTTACACAAACTTACACAAATTTACGTAAAATTACGTAAAATTACGGTAATTTTCCAATCCTAAATGTACATTAATACAGTATATAAAAGTTTGCCAATTCATATTCGATTTTTATTTATTATTTTTGTATACTATCCATCCATATTATTGTAGCTTTTTCTTTCCACGTACTAATTGAAACAGCCCGGTTTAAAATCGATCGGAGACAGTCACAATACACATATACTATAATAATTCGTAGTGCTTATCCTTTGAATCACAAAAAAATGACTCTAATGCTTCTAGTGATGTAAGAATTGCAATAAGAAAGACAAGTTTGTTGTGAAGAAACAACACCATCAAACCTTTATTACCCAATTAAGTATATTTGAAACACCATTATTATACGTATAACGATAAGTATTATGTATTTTTTTTTTTTTTTTTTTGATATAGCGATAGCGATAATAACTTTATTATAATTCATCTGGTTTAAAAATAGGAAAATGCTGCATATTACGTTTAAGGAACATTATTTGCTTAACCATATCTGGATGAAGCCTGTTACGTAATGCCGTAATGTGTAATCCTGCGTCCGAAAATAATCGCTCTGAGGGGACCAATGTTGCTGGCACTGACAAGTATTTTTGAGCTAAATTTGATAACACAGGATACATTCCAGATCTATCTTTCCACCATGCTAGTGGATTACAGCCTATTTTCTCAACAGGTTCACGAAGGTAACAGTCAACTTCAGTTTCTTTAAGAATTTCATTATTAGGTTCTTCGCTACTATATAAAGCCGCAATCAAGTCATTAGTTGTCGCAGGTTTGAGAGTTGACATAGTAGGTAACTTGTCAAGCTCAACTGAGGGCTGGTGGCATTTTTCTTCATCGCAAAGTGTTCGCACCCTATTAATTATAGTTCTCTTCATTGATTCATCACTAAGAAACTTCAAATGCTTAATTCTCGGATCTAAGAATGACGCTACAAGCCCAATTTCTTCAGGAGTTTCCCAATATTCTTGAAGAGAAAGATAGCTGGCAGCTTTAACTAAATCACATAGGTCTTCGGTAGTAACAGGGGCTCTATTAATCGACGGCCTTTAAATCGCGGGTCATTATTTGGATACGTATTTTTTTTAATTTTGCTGCGACTTTGTTTCTTCATTTGTCCTTGTGATGCTTGTAATGGTTGACGGAGTTGCTCTGAAATTATTTGTGTATCAAATTCATCTTCTATATCGAGTTCATCAGGATTTTCATCATTGGTTGGTTGACTTGGGCTAAAAATAAAAAATAAACCAGATTTCAGTTTTCTAATGTTTATAAATTTAAAATCCTGAAATCCGGTGGCTCTACATATTTCTAAAAAGTAATATTTAATGCCAAGAAAAACTTTTTAATATACCCAATAGGTCCAAATAATAATTCAGCATAATCATCTTTGGTTTGTTCATTAGAAGGTGAGAATTTCCTAATAAGTAATCTCATTGTTGGATAAATAAGGTTAAGAGAAGGATAGCTTGAACCGGAAAATATATTGGTAGCCTCGTAAAATAGTTTCAATAATAGAATAAGACCGTCTAACAATCGCCATTCGTTTTCGGTTAGGTTGGTTAATTTCAAATACTCGCCATCAAGTCTGTCACACCGTTCCAATTCTGAAGGCAACATCAAAACAAGGTAATCGATCGCCTTTCGTAATCTCCTAAGCCGAACCCAAGCTAAATATGAAGAATTCCATTTCATTGGTACGTCATTAATTGGTTGGTGAATTTTTGAATATCTACATTTTTCTTGCGCATCTTTAAGTCATTCGGATTGTTTAGGACTTTGAGAAAAAAAAAGAATTAAATTCTTTGCTCTTTTAATTAATTGTATTGCAGGTTTAAGACTTTTTAGCACGCTTAGTTGAAGCGTATGAGCAGAGCAAGATAATCATATAATATTGTCCATTAAGCCAATCGCCTTTTTAACATTAGCTCCATTGTCGGTTGTGATGCAAAAAATTCGTCCTGTGAGTCCCCAATCAATGATAACTTGATTAAGAGAATCTTCAATAGCTTCGGCTATGTGTGGTGATGGAAGCAGTTGGATTGTTAATAAAGCCTCTTTTAATTCAAAGTTTGAATCGATCCATGTTGCCGTCACTCCAATGTACCCTTGATTTGTTCTTGAACTCCACATATCTGTTGTTAAATTAACAAATCCACCGTCAGTATTCATCATACCGAATAATTGATCACGACTCCAATCGTAAGCTTTGTCAATCATTTTTTTCACAGTCTGCTCACAAGGAATGTGAAAGCCTGCTTCTATATAATTTAACAACTGACGAAAAGCTTGGTTACGTAAAATATGAAGAGGTTGGCAATATTTGATAATAAATTCGACTAATAGCTGTGCTATTTTGTCTTGCCTCTGTTTACTAATGACATGCATAGCTTTGACAATCGAACCATTACTGTTTGCTTCTTCAGGGTGGTCTTTATCTATTCGGTGCTTAGACCAAAGATGGCCAAGCATATTTTCCATTAAAGAGTCATGCGCATACCTAACATCAATCTTTTTTTTTTTACAGATTTGACAAATATCAAAAGTGTCTTTTTTTGTTGTCTCAACATTAAAATGATCTCACACGATACTACGATTGTCACGTTTTTTTCGTTTTTTTGTTTTATCATTATATGCAGGCGATTCATCAGGTATAGGCGGTTCATCGTATACATCTACAGAATATATATCATCATCATCTATATAATCGGATGTTGAAGTTGAAATGCTCATCTTGACCTATTAATTTTATAATATTAATTGCATAGTGCTTAATTTTTTGCACGCACCATGATTTTGAAAATTTTGCCTGTTCTATTGCGGTATGCTTAATATATAGCGTTCAGCAAACTATGGGTAGCTTTTTTTTTTTTTTTTTTGAGCTACTGGTGGACGATGACCAAAGCATGGCTATGTTTATTACAATGTCCTGAACGTAACCCGTTTAATGCTGCAAGCGAAGATGTTTTGTCCAGTTCTTAAAAAACAGATATCTAACGCGTGATTTTTATAAAAGTCATAACGATAGTGTTTTCCAAAAATTTAAAAAAAATAAAAAAACGCTTTTAAAAATTAAGGGGTTTTTATACCAGAAAAAAAAGCGTTATCAATTACTGTATTATGCAAGGCCAATTTTTTGGTTCGCATAACTGGCCGGGTCAATTTTACTATCGGTGGTTTTTTTTTTAAAAAAAGCCAAAGAAAAATTTTTATACTTAATTAAGCGAATCTTTTTTTAAAAATTTCATGTTAAAGACTTTATATAGCCTAGCGCTAACTTTATCTTAAACCTTATTTTTTAAACCGGTTGGTAATATAAATTGGGTTGATAGATTATCTATTTACCAACCGGGTCACCCGTTGTAAAATGGGTCACCCACTTATTATAGTGTTACCCGTTGTAAAACGGGTCACCCAATATAAACGAATCACCCGTTTATCAAAAAAAATAATCTGGTTGGTAAATTTTACGGGTCGGGTCATCGGGTACATGGTTACCCGGGTTATAGTTTGAATTCCTACAATAAGCAACTCTTCCTGACGATCATCTGGACCAAAATTTTCCACTAAAGAAAAACTAGAACTACTTGTTGGAGAGTCGTGGCCTATACAGTGGTTTGTCTAGAGGTCAACTACTACTCTCAGGGACTCTTCTAATGAAGAACATTTGGTATACAAGCCAAGAGCATTATTATACAAGATAACTGACAGGCAATGCCCTTGTATAAAAAATCTTGGTGGAGTATAGGTGGGGAGGTCCAACTCCGTTAACAAAGCTGTTTGGTCATTACTTCAATGAAAAACACAAGGAAAACAACAAGAAGCTTTGCTATTTCAACACACTTGTTTAAAAATTTTGAAAGTACTTGCAACTTTCTCCTCATATTTCTTTCTTTTGTCAGTTTTTTAAAAAATTTTTTTTCAAAAGTGGGGATTT